CCTCTAACTAGGGTAGTTCTAGAACTTCCTAAGGTTTTAAAGGATAAAAATCTAGGCGTCAATCAAAAATAGTTAGGACTGCATTTAAAGAGAACAATTACAGGCTCACGATCACCTCCGGAAATATAACAAGTAAATGCACGTCTTCAAACAACAGTCAGGTGTTTAAGAGAAATTCCTAGAACATGATATCTAGGTGAGCAGGGATTATACGGCATTGAATTAGGACAAAGTGTCAAAGACCTATTTAGCTTACCTACTGATTTTAGGCCTGTTAAATCTGCAGAGTCTCAAATAGCAAGGCACAGTTTTAAAGTTGCAGAAATTTAATCGCCCTATAGGCTTGCCTAAGCGCATAACAGTGGTGTCCTAAGAGCATGATATCTACATTGATTAGAAATGCAGTAAAACAGTGAACAATTTTTAAAACGGACAAGTTGAGATCCTATGGATATTGTTTCTAGAGGTATTAATTTAAGGCAGTGTTTGAAAACTCATTTAAAGAAACAGATAGTTGATTAAACCAATTTAGAATGAACTAACATGAATTAAACTGATTTATTTAACTAAACTGATTTTAAGTTCTATAGGCATGATTTCTATTAGAGCTGATTTTAATCCCTATAGGCATGGTATCTAGTTATTAAAGTCATTTAGATCCTATAGGCATGGTTTCTAATATTGTGGAAGTAAAGAAAACATAGCAAATGCATTTGAATTAACACAACCCTATAGGCATGGCATCTACCTGATTTACCCAACGTATATATAACTACCCACCCCTTTTTCACTAAACATTCCAATGTTGTTTACAATAAATATTACAGACCAATGAATTAAATACATAAATGAACAGAAGTTAATCTATAGGGAGCCTACAGTAGGCCCAAATGACTTCCAAACCTCCAATAGCCTCAAATGCCAAAGTTCCATAGCCAATTTTGTGTCCAGCTATGTCAGAGTTCCCTAAGGATCTCAAGGATCCCGGGCAGTGCTCACACCTAGACCTTTTCGCAAATAATAACTGATTTAGGTGCATTATGGAAAGGCCAGCTCTGACATGCCATAGTTCATAGAGGTCTCAAGGATCTCAAGGCAGTACACATTCCAGAGGGGCAGAACCTAACATTCTAGGAGTAATGTGAGAGTGCATGATGACTTTGAAAGAGTTTGGTAAAACAGTTAGAGGTGAAAAGATTCGGAAACAGTTTTCTTTTTAAAAAAAATATTGGGAGTGACCAGTTTTGAGAAGAATGCTAGGAGTAGGAGTAGCAGTTTTGAAATCATTCTGAGGAAAACACACTTAGCAAACAACCCAATTAATCGAGGACTACCCAGGTTCACTTAACAAGCAAGCTTACAAACAAGGGGTGAAGGGGATTGGGAAACATATAGGGTTAAGACTACATAAACAGGCAAACTGATACAACAAATGTCTAGAACAACTAGGAGTATATTGAACAAATTAGTCATAGACATAGAGAAAGAATGTGAGAATCATGTTGACAACAAAGATATGCTGAATAGAATTGAACATAATCAGGACCAATTAAATGCACTAGAAGACTAAATAACTAACAAAGTCATACCAATTAAAGGGAGGGGTAAGGGAACTAGGTAAACATGCTGGACAGATATCAAAGAACGTAAATGAAGCCATTCATGCTAATTACTCATAAGGCAAAATTTAAACATACTTAGTAACAGCAAACAGAGAAACCAAATTGAATAACTAATACAGGAACAAGCATAGATGTATAGGCATAGAACACATAAAGTTGAGTTTCAAAATCTAACTGGAGACATACCAGTTAATGAAGAGAGCACAGAATGTAAAGCGAGTGCAGTTCAATATCTAGCCTTAGCTTACAGCCGACTAGATCAGTAATTTTCACAGAGAAAGAAAGGAGAGTTTTGAGTGTGAGTGTGTGTTCTTTGAACTTGTGTCCGTTGTTCAGAAATTAAAATTATAGGGGTTTATATAGTAATCAAAAGCTTAACAAATAAGGTAAGAGATCAATTAAGTAGCAAATCAGGGAAATCACATGTAAATCAGCAAATTCTTCCCTTAATCAAAGGACAATTAAATCAACGGTAAAAGCATGCTAAGTATTTAAGTGAAAGAATCAAGTAAGGTTTAGGTATAGAATAGGTAATTAGGGGTAAATGAACAGAGGTTTTAATTAAGGAAACAAATCAGTAAGAATCGGCAAAAATACAAACAAGGCAAGGAAAAAATAATTAAGGCAAGCAATTCAATCAAATCGAGTAGAGAGGTAAGAATCGAAAGTTTAAGGGAAAGTGTTCAAATCAAACCAAGAAATAAAGAAGTTCAGAATATTCAAGGGTTCAATCAAAGAGAAAGTCATGAAAGGTTATCATGTTTAGCATATAAATAAGGTAAAATATGAATAGTCAGGAATCATCGACATATAACTTCAACAAAAGAAAAAGTTAAACAACACTGATTCAATGAGAAAGATACAGGTCTTGACATGAATAGTCATGACGAACACAAGCACATAGAATCAGTGAAAGGTCAAACTAAGAAATTCAGTAGAAACATATTCGAGCAAGAAAGTCTCGAGAAATCACAAGAATCCAAAGCAAAAACCAGTCGATATACTAGTACTCAGAAACCAGACGAAGAACATCAAAAAATTAGGGCTTTCAGTACAAACGGGCTAAGGTTGTAGCAGACTTACAAAATCAGTCAAAATATATGAGAAGCAGAAGACTAAACACAAAAAGTCATCAAACAATTTGTAAAAGAAATTCCGGAAACCCTAGTTTAGGAAAAAATGAAAATCACTTGAAAATCATACGATTCTTGTAAAGAATCTTAAGGTTATTGTAAAAATTACATGAAACAAACCCAAATTATCTTAGATCTGTACAGATATAAGAGGTTTAGAAAAGAAATTAGGGTTTCGAAAAGAACCATACAAAGGTGAAGAAACCTGCTTAGAAAACCATAGATCGTAGTCAATATAGGACGATCTTACTCGAAATCACAATGGAATGGCCTGAAATAGGCGAGAGAGGAACCATATATGCAAGTCAACTAGCCCTGGTCCCTTGAGGGCCCTGGAGATGGCAAGAATAACGTGAGGGAGGCCATTGGAGGCCTGAGAGGTAGTGATAAGTCATTGGAGATGGCCATGGATGAGGGTCAATGAGGTTATTAGGGTTAGGTTTTGAGAGCGTTTAAGAGCAGAGAGGGGTTTCAGGGCGGCGGGTAGTATAGAAATGATAGGGTTTGGGGGGTCTTTTGGGTTTATTTTAGGAATGGTCGTTTGTGGCCGTTGATATTTATTATCAACAGCCGAGATTAAAAGGTTTTGGGGGCCGGATTGGGTAGCTGGGATTTGGGCTGGGTTATTTAATTGAAAATTGGGCTGGTATTGGGGTTAGATTGGGGCTAGAATTGAAATGAAATTAGGCTATATTTTAAATAGCCATTTTTAATACTACATAATTTATAAGAAATAATAAATAATTTCTAAAAATTACTTTTGTGTATTAAAATGATTTAAAATAGTTTTTTAACATTTTAAAATTATAAAAGAACATTTTATATGTATCAATAATATAATTATGCATTAGTAGGGCTATTATTGCAGAGATATGCAATTTAGCTTAAAAATGTAAATGCAATTATAAAAAAATACACTAAAATATATAAACAATATTTGACATAAATCAAGAATTTAAATGACTAAATCACCACAAAAATAATTTGAAGGATAATTATTGGAAATTTTATAAATAAAAAGGGAAGAAATAAATCAATTTAGAGCTTTTAAAAATTATAGAAAAATTATTAAAAAAATGCTTATGCATGCTTATAACTGCATATGTGCTTTTAAAAGTATATATATGTATTAAAAATATATGAGAAAAAATTGGTTATCAACAGGTTGTCGGTCACGCGAATTTGGGTCTTGACACTTGGTTTCTACAGTTAGAGAGCAAGTCTGCAGATTCATCGAGGGGCTCAACTATGTTATTAGATTTAGTATGTCTCGAGAGTTGGAGAAGGATACTCCATATCAGCAGATGGTAGAGATCGCACGAAGGTTGGAGGGTATGCAGGGGCCGTGAGAGAGAGGACAGGGAGGCCAAGATGCCTCGATATTTGGGTGGATATAGTGGTGCATGCTCTCCAATTTTAGCCCATCATGGCAGAGGCTATGTGAGCCGCCTAGTTCGTTTAGCAAATATAGCTACTAGCGATGCTCCTACTATTTCGAGGTCTCAAGCTGCCCATTTTGCTCAGCCACTTTCTAGTGCACCTTCTGTACGGGGTGCGTTCAGCGGTCAGTTTAGTCGACCAGTCCAGATCAAATTCAGCAGCCACACCCACCGAGAGCTTTTATTGAGTGTGGTGATATCAGACATATGGTGATGGACTGTCCCAGACTCAGGATGGGTGCACCTCCACAGACTACACAGGTTCCACGGATTCCACAGGATCCACAGGCCATGGTTGTTTCTCCAGTTGCAGCTCCACATGTCCCACCAGCTAGGGGTGGAGGTCACATAAGTAGAGGCCGCCCTAGAGGGGGAGGCCATGCTCGTTTCCCTTGGAGGTAGTTGCATTGGATGCTAGTATCACAGGTATTGTTCCGGTTTGTCATAGGGATGCATCAGTCTTATTTGATCTGGCATCCACTTATTCATATGTGTCATCTTACTTTGCTATGTATTTGGATATATCTCGTGATTCTTTGAGTTCTCCTGTATATGTATCCACGCTACTAGGGTTGTGTCCTTCCTTAAGGCACAACAGATGGTTGGGTGTTGGATATATTCCAACACCCCAGCAGCATTTATGCGTCTGAAGAACAGTATATTCCAACCATATCTCGACTCATTCGTCATTGTATTTATTGACAATATCTTGGTATATTCTCGCAACCGGGAGAATTATGAGAAACATTTGAGGATCGTGCTCCAGACCTTGAGGGAGAAACGTTATATGCAAAATTCTCCAAGTGTCACGCCCCAACCTTGGGAGGTGTGGCTGGCACATTGAATGATTCGGATATGATTTGAGTCATTTTCTCTCGATTTACCTTGGGTTTAAATGGTGCATCAGTCAGAAGAACGGGATGCTCCTCGGGAGCAACAGCGAGCTCATTGTAAAATGTATGGTGCCAGATTTTCTCCATATCATCCCAGTCTGTTATGATACCATCTTCTATTGGATATCTGAGAGAAAAATAACCTTTTTTATACTGAGCTTCCTCGCCAACAAAGGTATTTTTTTGTCCTATTCCAACCATGACGCCAGTGTGACGAGGACGAGCAACTATACTTGGAAAAACAGCCCTAGGAGAATCATCTCCAGCAAAGCCAACCTAAAGAACCAAACGATGCAGTTATTATTCATTAGTAGGTCACATTAGGAGCAATCTAATCAGAGACGGACCCAGGATTTTAACGCAACAGGAACACTAGTATTCTGCAAAACAAGTGCCCCTAAAAACTTTTAGTGTTCATGGTACCAACTACCTCTGAATGTAGTTAACTCTATACATATGGAGCTAAATTATAAGCATTTTTTCTAACTAACCTTGCTCGTTACACTTCCGTTGTCAATAACAACTGGTTGGATATCCTTCCCATGATCAGCCATCTTGTAAGTACTACAGAGTCAAAGTGAAAATTGTCCACAAAAATCAGCTCAGACTGTGAGAAATTTCTTCCTTTATCTTTCATATTTCCAGTAGAAATCACCAGCTATTTACATGAACCTCAAGTTTATCGATTAAAAGCAGAGAAAACAAGCAGGGATTCATGCAAAAACGCGCAAAGGGAAATAATAACAAAGGTCAATTGGTGCAGTAGGGGTTCATTGAAGCAATTTGAAGATATCTCACTCGTTTTAAAAGCTCAATACATGGATTTTTCGAATCCTAATCTCCTTCCTGCCAATGAAAAGAAGAGCAAAATTCTGAAAATTAGCATGTAATAGTAATTCAACAATAAAATGTCCCCTCTGGACCAAAGGCATACTAGTGCACTTTTCACCATGCGATAGTTAGCTGCACATATACTCTAAATCTGAAGGAAACTACAACAGCAATAGCAAACCCAGTATAATCCCACATAGTGGCGTTTCATGAAGGTAGTGTATATCCAGTACTACCCCTACCTTGTTGAGATACAGAGGTTGTTTCCAATAGACCCTCGGCTCAGGAATCAAAATCACCACATTAATGAAGAGAAAAACAAGAAGCGTAACAACGAAAAGCCATGTAATAAAAGCAGCATAAATAGCAACCAGATAGTAAGATGATCGAAATGAGCGAAACAACAGGTAGTCATAGAAATCTAATACGAAAGTACGTAGTAATACTATCGACATGAACAAGGAGAATTTGAAGAAAACTCACATTCATAAAGAATGGTTGCTTAAGAATCACTAAACTTAAGAAAACATGAAGAGCAAAGAACTAGAGACAAGCTAAGTGCCTATGTTAATATAACAACAACAAATCCATTAAAATTCCACGAATAGGGTCGGGGGAGGGTAGCGTGTGCGCCGATCTTACCCCTAACTTGTGAAGGTAAAGAGACTATTTTCGATAGATATTGGGCCCAAGAAAAAAAAAAGCGACCAACAGAAATGAGAAGGTAATATGAAAACTAATTTGCATTCTATATAAACGACCCCACTTTTACATTCTATATAGAACCAAATGCCTGGTAAAAAAAAAAAAAGGCAGTCTGGTGCACGAAGCATCCCGCATTTATGCAGGATTCAAAGAAGGGCCGCACATCAAGGGAGTGGGATGTAGGCAGCCTACCTTAATGCAAGTATCAATGGCTAATTCTACGGTACGAACCTGTGACCTATAGCTCACATGGAGACAACTAAATATCACACACCAAACATATAAAAGAACTAAATCAAGAAAAACCAAGTGAATTGGCATAAATCAACGATAATCCTAAAGAATATGGAAGCTCTATTGATGCCATTTGATACTGTTTCAGTTTTAATTGAAATAGCTCATTGTTTTACGATGATGTTTCTCTATTTAAACACAAATAAGCACAAGGAAACAATCAATAACACGTTTCTTTTTAACAATTTTCATGATCAATAAGGTATAGATAATTTCGTTCGATTGATAAATGTTCAAAGAAATTTTGTTCATAACCACAGGAAATCATTCTACCAAAAACTGAATAAAAATCAAGATTAGTGAAAAATAATTGCAGCAACAAACAAGTGCCAAGCACATAATTATTTATTTAATATAAAAAAAAAAACAGAGACAAACCAAATTCAAGATCGAGTTAAACATGGAATCTGATCGATCAGCAAATAGAATTGAAGTTTATCTTGATGAAATCGATAACGAAAATTAGGAAAAGAAAAAAAAAGATTTGAAAAATATAATTTTATATAGTTATTAATATTACTTCCTGCGAATACGTTTTAAATTATATACATAATATGAGAAAAGTTTATGAGATTTTCTTTATTGTAAAAGTATGAATTATTTTTTCACAAGAAAAGAAGGTTATATTTTTATTATTTTAAAAATTAAGCGTATGAAAATTTTTACTCTTTATATGAGATTAAAAAAATTAGAAATTGAGAAATATATGTATTTTTACATGGACGTTTTAATAAAATAATAGTGTATGTATTTATTTTATATGTTACCACATGATCATGATAATAAGTTATATAAAGTATATTAAAAAATAAGTTGAATATTAAGTAATTTGGGGTAATTTTTAAATTATGCGGGTAATTGGTTAATTATCGGTAATGGGACATTACCCGATTAACTAATAAGTGAATAAAGATTTAAAAAAACCACCCCATCCCAACCCATCCCACCCCACCCCACCCCACCCCACGTGGCAACAAGCCACTAACAAAAAATGACTCATGGCCACATTAGATTAGGTGGCAACGTAGGATAATGATATCAAGACATCTTATTAAAATTTTGAACAAAAAAAATACCATTTTTCTCTCTTGCAAGTAAAACTCCCAACTCTTTCACAACAAAAGACTCAATCTTTACACAAATCCTTCATTTGGGTATTCAAGAAAAGGCAAAAAGTTTCAATCTTTTACAAAATTGAAGAACAAAAATCAATCATCTTTCTGGCCAAATTGATGTCGATATGGCTAATGAATTTGAATCGATTTCAGGTTTCTCATTCTTCTCTGATCTCTGTTGGTACATAACTACATGTATGTACGAATATTAATAAGTGTAGGCAAAGGCCTTTATTTGATTAAAATAAATTAGTACAATTTTAAGGGGAACAGTCAAATCTTTTCCAATGCGAAATTATTAGTAACGTTGTCTTCCGTTAAACTTTTATCTAATCCTACTCCATTTTTAGGGAAAAGTTTTATTTTAAACCTTAGTTTAACTTGTTATAGCAAATAACTAAATTTATAAGTATCATATGTTGACAATATATAATTTTTTGACACGATTAGTATAGTTTAACTTACAACAGTAGGTTGGTCATTGATTTTATTAAGTTACTAACTAAGCTTATCAGGTGATACATAGAATTTAAACTATGGTAAACTGCCATTTTATTCCAGGTTATAGTTATAAAGGATGATCTGTAATTACTTTGATTGTAAGAATATTTTCAACACCATTAATGTATAAAGTTTAAATTCTTCTTGTATTGGTGTCTTTTTCATCTGCGGTTGCGGTTCCTTCATGCTGGTTATCATCTAAATTTCCCACAGGTAGACTTGAATACAATATCGAATTCTGTTTAGTTATTGGACCTTTGTTTAATCAAGATAATAGCATTATTTGGTTCTTGTTGTCGTGATTGTACTTTAGATTCTTCACACTTGCGAGATTAGTCCTCTATTGCAATCTTTTTCCAAGAATATCATACGGATTTTTCACTACTCCAGGTATGTTAAGGCTATCTCTTCTTTCCTTTTGGCATGATTCATATGATACAAGCGAAACGAGAAAAGGCACAACTTTCATAAGTGACTCTATTCATAGAAGTATTAAAAGTGTATATGTTCTTGAATCTCCATATGTCTTATTATTCCATCGTCTGTTCATGGGTCTTAGAAAATACGTAAAATGATTTTATGATATTAATCAGAGGTATAATGGTCTTATGACGTCCCGAGAGATTTTGTTATCTTATTTCATATGCATTTTATGCATTTATACGTGTACATTGACCCATGACTCAGACGGCGTTATATATGCGTATATATGTATATATATGTATATGGGATATGGGAAAAGGTTACGGCGTTATATACGTACCACCACCTGATCAGCTGGTATACGATGATGATGTTGCCCACGGTGGCTGAAATATGACTCAGACGGCGTTATATACGTGTATATATGTATATATATGTATATGGGATATGGAAAAAGGTTACGATGTTATATATGCACCACCACCTAATCAGCTAGTATACGATGATGATGTTGCCCACGGTGGCTGAAATATGACTCAAACGGCGTTATATATGCGTATATATATATATNTTCAGAGGCTTCATGATGTTATGTAGGTACAGACCTATGCATTACATGACATTCATACGTATATGCATGATACTATAAATATTTCATGATTTACAGAGCTATCCAGACTTACAGGTTGAGTCATTTACTCCATATTTCTTCCATGTCCTTAATTAATGTTGACTTACTATTATGTTATAGTTCTGCCTTACATACTCAGTATATTATTCGTACTGACGTCCTTTTGTTGGGGACGTTGCACTCATGCCTGCAGGTATAGATAATCAATTTGACGAGCCCTCATAATAGACGAGATTGGCATTCAACGAAGGATCGGTAGGACTCCATCTCATTCGGAGTGCAGCCGAGTCTATGAGTCATCATGTCAGAGTTTTGCTACAGACTTGTGGGTAGATCGGTACCCAGTCCCATTTGATGTCAAATAATCTTAGAGGCTTTGTAGATAGAGGTTCGTTTTGTATAGTATGTTAGAGGCCTTGACGGACCATATGTATTCATGTTTTAAGAAAAATGGTTCAGTGATACAGTGTTGGCCCACTTACAGTTGTACATTTCGAGTTGTGGCCATGTTGGCCTATGATAGTTACAAAAGGAATGAATGAGTTATAGAGTGGTTCGCTCGGGCCAGTGTGGCACCGGGTGCCAGCCACGCCTCCAAGGTTGGGGCGTGACACCAAGTGTAAGTTCTGGCTTGATTCGGTGGCGTTTGTAGGTTATGTGGTGTCTAGTGATGGGATCAAGGTAGATCCGAATAAGATTGAGGCAGTTCAAAGTTGGCCTAGACCGTTTTCAGCTGAGATTTGGAGTTTCCTTAGATTGGACGGATACTATTGTCGTTTCATAGAGGATTTCTCATCCATTGATTCACCTTTGACTAGATTGACCCAGACACTATAATAAAAGTGATTTTTAGCTGCGAAATTATTAGCCACGACGTAAAAATTCATCACTAATTGTTAATATTTCGTGACAAAAATAATATTTCGTCTTTAAATACACGAGCCACATATTTTTATTGACGAAATACAAAATTTTGTAGCAAAGTTTTGTTCACTAATGTTTTACACCAAAAATTGAGTTGGCGCCAATTATTCAGTAATATTAGCCACGAATT